GAGGGATAACACATTTATGATTGAATCAAGGTTCGCCCTTTATTGCATGATACACTTAAGAATTGAATTGGTAGTATCCTTGTTTTGCATTCAAGCTTGACATCCAAGAAATTTGCCTGCTCAATCCCTTGGTGATGTTGGTGACAACAGACAAACCCTTTCTCCTAGAATTCTTATAGCTAACAATGGTTGTTGTGGTTGAGAAGTAAAGACACATATCTAAAATATTTTTCTTTTTTTGTTCTCGTGTCTCTTTCATTAGTGTTGATAACAAGTAAGTGCCACTTCTGAAAGCTTATGCCTTGCATGTCTTCCTCGTTGTCAACAATTCTTTCAACTATAATCATATTACTAATTTGCACTTGTTATTTGCATAATATGTTCGACACGAGGGTCAAACAAATTACGAACCTTTAAATATAACCTTACTGATAGAATAAAATAACTTGGATGTTTCAATCATCATTGAGATCATGGCTTCTACATCTCACCTATTTTCATCTTAATTTTAGGATAAGTTGATCTTAAAAGCACTTTAGATGATACTTATTTAAATACAAAATATAAGAGAGATTTATCAAAATAGATGCATGATAAATAAAAAGAATTAAACTAGTCAAATATTATTTTATTGGGATAATTTGAACCTAAATGCATACCTGAAGTCGGCCGAGCGATCCGCACCGTGCCGATTCTAGCTCGTTAATTCAGTACGTTGGAAAAACTTGAGATGAGCGATTTGGGTCTTTGATGGATCTGTTAGGTTTTCTTCGGATCTAATCATTTGATGGAAATGGATGGAGCAAGCTCGTCAGGATCCAGCGGCGCAGCTCAACCCAGCTTATTCCTCTCCAAGCGGTCAAGAGGTGCTCTTTTCCTTTTCCCTTCGTCTGAAATCTATTTAAAGATCCGTGAATACTTCTCTTATTCTTTTTCGATTATTTTTTGTTTTGTTGAAATCCCTACTTTCTTTGAAGTTTCTTTTTGTTGTCCAGGGATTAGTATCTGTTATGGCCTTTTTTTTAAGAAAAAAAAAATTCTTCAGGATTATGTGGTGCAGGTAAGTAAGTCACATCTTGCTATGAAATGCTTGTTTTTGACTCAAGAGTAGACAGTTTTCAGCAAGGATAAATGAAATTTGAGGATTCATGAACATAACCTACATAGTTGAGATGAGGCTATGGTTGATGATGATGAATAATGAGGGTGGTCTTATATATGAATGAAAGGAAATTGAGCCTCAAATGAATAATTTGTTTTGGCAACCATTGAACGAATTTATATTGAAATTTTGATTAAATAATTAATTTGAAGAGGCTACTGTTATAAGTAGTTGAAGTCACGTTTGTAGCTCTTGACTTTTCTGATGATATTCTTCTTTGAATAATTTCACGGCTTGTGTTGATGGCCAACATGCTTGATCTAAAATGTGGCACAATGAGAATAACCCCGAAAGTGGAAAACTCTATTCAGTTTAAGATCCTTAATATATTTGTGGACGTGGTCATGAGCAAGTTTATTTCCTCTCATTGTACGCCTGTAAAGTGTGGCGTTTTGTTCTCTATTTTGTGGCAAAAATCACTTTCACATCTCTGTTTCTAAAATTTTATAAAACTGAAAGATTTCCTTAGGTATTTTTTGAGTTGTTGAAACAGGACTATGAGTTGAGATATTCTAAACCTATGGCTAATAGAAAGACTACTAAACTATTAATCAGTGGCTTCAGTTTGGTTGGAGGAAATTCGTATGATTGAAACCCAGGGATTGAATTTCATTTAGGATTATTGGGTTGGCTGGCTTTTACCTTAAGGAGCTTATGTTTTGCTGTTGAAGTATGATCAGAATTTCTTGCTATCTTTCTCTGAAAAGCCTAGGATTTCTTTTCTCCCTATACATGATGAATTTGATGAAGGAAAATTTATACAGAAATTAAGTTGATGTGCCATACTTTTAAATTATGGAAGAGGGTAATTGAACATAGGGAGAGGGTAATTGAACATAGTTTATGACGTGAAGCTTGGATTTATGCCGGGTAGGTCGACTATTTAAGTGTTGATAGTTTTGATCGAGAAATGTAGAGAGAGTAAGGAGGTTCTACATTTGATTTTTATTGATTTGGAAAAAACTTACAATAAGGTTCCAAAAGAAGTTCTTTGGAGAGTTCTGGAGAAGAAATGTGTTGATATGACTTATACTTAAGTCATTAAAGATACATATACTAGAGCTGTTACTTGTGTTCGAACAGAAGGAGGATTGATCAAGTATTTTTCTATTTAAATTGTATTACATCAGGGATCGACTTTGAGCCCATATCTTTTTGCTTTAGTTATGGATGCTCTTACTGTACATTTACAAGAGGATGTACCTTCGTTTATGCTTTTCGTTGGTGATATCATTCTTTTGGATAAAACTAAAGAAAGAGTTTAGGAAAAACTTAAATTATGAAGGTCAAAATTGGAGTCTAAAGGTTTTTGTTTGAGTATATCTAAAACTAAATATATGGAATGTAATTTTAGTGGTAGTAGCTCTAGTGACAACGTTGTAACTATGGGTGATCAAATCATTAAAAGTCGTGAATATTTTTGATATATCGGGTTTATTGTTCAAAGTGATGGTGATATTGATGGGGATGTTATTAGTAGAATTCAAGCTGGTTGGTTGAAGTGGAGAAATTCATCGGGCCTTTTGTGTGATAGAAATACCGCTTAGACTTGAAGAAAAAATTTATAAGATGGTAATGAGACCTGTCATGCTCTATGACACAGAATGTACAGAATGTTGGCTTTTAAAATCTTTTAAAATAGAAGCATAAAACAAAATTAAGTGTTGCTGAGATGAGAATGCTTCGGTGGATGAGTGGCTTGATATTTAGATATAAAATACAAAATTAATATATCCGTGATAGGGTTGGTGTAGCTCTAGTGGTTGACAAGATTAAAGAGAGTTGTTTTAATGGTTTGGTCACATTAAACATCGACTATCTGATGATCCAGTTGGGAGACTAATTGTTTTAGATTCAATTATGCTGAGAAAGACAAAGGTAGACCTAAAAAGACTTGAGAATTTTATAAAAAAACTTGGGCATATTGTATAAAAAATGATCTTACTCTATTAGAATTAAATGACAATATGACACTCAAGAGGACACAATGGAGAAAAATGATTCATGTTGCCGACCCCACTTAGTGGGATAAAAGCTTGTTGTTTTTGTTGTTGTCGTCTTAAGATTTTAATATGGATAACATAAGTTCATTGCATTTATAATTAACCTATGATCAATCCGTTGTGTTATTTTATCCATGACAAGTATGTTCCTGACTCCTAAATTTTGAAAAGACCGCCTAATCCATTAATTGATGACTAGACAATAATTAGATCATTTAAGAATAAAACAAGTGCACAATATATAGGAAAGTATCATACTCTAGTGCTTTTCTTAAAAAAGATAAATTCAACTCAATATATAAAAGGCTACATTCGCAGGTGTGGCACAATAAATTCTTGAGTATATTTTTAATAAAAATTAAAGAGAGATGAAGAATGTTCAGAAATAAGCTTTTGCATGATGCATACGGTAGTCATCTTTTTCCTCATATCCCAACCTCCAAAATCTGTTGTAATGGCTGCCTAGAAAAGTGCCTCCAAGAACCCTAGAAGATAGCTCCAGGTTTTCCTTTGGATTTCACCAAAAGTATCTCATTTGTTCCAATAAAATCCTTACATATGGCTGCATCAAATCTTCTAATTTTGGCATGTATTTATGATGACTATGTTATTTTTGTGGATGGTGCCTTGTGGCACCATGACTCCGATTCATTTGTCTTTGGTGTGCGCTTCTGCTACAATGCAATGCTTAAACACTAAGCTATTGGTTGCATGATCTTGTTATGGCCCCTGAGCATCTTGGATTTGACTTGTTTGCCTTGCAGATTGGAGTTAGCTTTGAGCACTTAGGCGACGAGACAATGAGCCCTTTGTCTTGGGCTTTTTGTTGGGTGCTTAGGCTCTTGAATTCTCTCCAAATTATGCTGATTGCACTTCTGATTTATTTGGATGGTTGTATGGAGTAAATGAACACAAATTTGTAATACATATTGCTTCAATCTTCTGCTGAACTACACAGTTAAAAATTAAATTATTAATGTAGTAGAACTCATAAAATCACATTCAACAACCCTGGAATTGCTGACCTAAGGCGGGCTACAAATATACACTTTCGTGGTTATTAGGTTCACTCATCATTAGTTCTGATAGTTGCGGCGATTGCTTAGGTGATGTGAGTGAATAAAGTCCCTATAGGAATCCAAACATGTGTGAAACTTAAATAGAGCAGATGGATTTCCTAGATTTCAAACAGCTGCTAGATGCACAAAATAATTGAAAAAAGTTATATTCAGTTTTTGGCAAGGAATGAATGAAAGAGTTAATAAATTTTTATGTAAATAAATATAGCGGCATTTGCATACTTATCTATATAGTGGCATTTGCATACTTACCGCCCAATTCGCAAGTATTTACATATCTAACACCTAAATTTTACTTTTTATATTTATACTACCCAAATCATTCATATCACATCAAAATATCACCATTTTAACTTTTAAAAAGTGAAATGTATCTTTTCATGCATAGTTAAGGTGGCATGTATGCAAAAATTAAAGTTTAGGTGTTAGATGTGAATACATATGAATTGAGTGGTGTGCATATAAATCTTCGGAAATTATGTGCACGTGATATTTACAAGAAGTATACTTTCAAGAATAGAACTAGTAGTAGCAGAACAACGGATCATACATCTAAGCGTATTCTTCAAGCTAGCATTGTCCTTCTGTAAATATTCAATTTTAGAATTTAAAACAATAAAATCATCATTGCAAGAAGAACAAAAAGTATTATTTAAACATGAATCATTCAATATACTAATATTTTTTCTTATAAATTTCTAACCTTACCATATAAAACGACATCACCACAAGTTATAGATGCACTAAATGAAGCAAAAAGTGAATTTTTCAATGAATTAGTTTTTTAATTTTAAGAATGTCAATCTAATCATATAATTTGTGTATAAATGTAGGGGACAGTGAATGCTGAATCTTTATAATTTAATACAAAAGTTGGAGCAATAAGTTGGAGCAATGAATGAAGGCAGTTTATATTTTTAACTCATTTAGTGAATCATTCAATGAATTAGTTATTAAAGCAAATTCATAAGATGAAATTTACTTTCCTTTTACTTTCGATTGTATCTTGTTGCTGGAATCATTTATTTCATTTGTTGAGCATTTTTTTTTCTGGTCATGATTAATTAAATTTAATATGGTTATTTCTTCTTTACTTGCATTTTTTTTATTTGATTACCAAAATTTATGAAGGAAATTTTTTTATTATAGCCTTTTATCGATTTACTCAACAGAATCTGCCAGCCTGTAGACCTGCATTGACACCAACCTTGGTGAGCTCATTATTATAGGTCATACTGATTTTGTGTATCTTTCAGTTCAAGTTCTTTTATAATTTTATCCTCTTTTTGAACTTGTAAAGCAGGTAATAACTGTATTTCTGTTGGTCGGAATTACTTTTCTGCCATTTGGAATTATATGCTTTCGTGCCGCAGAAAGTGTAATTTCTATGTTCATTCATGCTCAATGTTTGATTAATTACCTATGAGCATATGATAATGATTCTTGGTAGCTTCATAATATCATTGTGTGCTTTCTTTCAGGTTGATGAACTTGTGCTGCGATATGACACTGAATGTATACCTGAAAATTATAGAGGCAATAAAGTAGCCTACATTAAGGATGACTCGATCTCTAAAAAGTGTACATTAACAGTAAAGGTTAGTCCACATTTTGCAGCAGCTCTCTTACCTGTGGATACATAATGCCTCCTAATTTTTGTTTTCATTTTTATAACTATTGAGAAACATGATTATTGTGACCTGATTTTGTGTCTCTTGTTTATTTAGTAAAACATGAAAGGAAATTTTCCCCTTAATTTGAGTGGATCCATCCTTCTTTAATATTTAATGAATGAAAATTCATCTTACCTGTTGCACGATGCTCTTGCCAGAGCGGGTTTTTGGTTTGTTTGTAGCCTTACTCTTATATTTCATGATGTTTTTTCAGATAGGTACTTTATATACCACCAATTTGATAGGTTAAGTCCTATTATTTTGGTAAATTTATTTGGAAGGGAAGATAAGGAGATCTTACTTGCTTCCTAGGTTAATACAATATATATCAAAAAATCAAAATTTTCCATCATAGATATATGTGTGATAAGTGATTCTGGAGTTTCTAATGAAGGGGTAGCCATAACTATTGAATAGGATCTACTGCAGGCTTGTTATTTATCATAAATTTTATTCTTACTCTAAAATTTTAATTAGATTATTAGTTAGTTGATGAGTAAAGTGTTAAGATAGTCCCTTGATAGTTTAGATGGGGTCTTTTTAGTCCCAAAGTCTATTAAAGGGACAAATTTATCCTCGAACTCTTAAAATCGTCGCTGAAATGGTTCTCTATGGGGATTATTTCAGCTCTTATTACTAGAGTGGGGATTAAATTAACACATTTATAGACATTTATAATTAAAATGACCTCTTACAAAGAGTCAAGGGACTATTTTGACACTTTTCTTGTTAGTTAATAATTTGCCTTGGTAATTGCTACTTGTTGCTATTTTATATTGTTCACTGATTGTTATTGAATTGAAAGTTATGGCTAATCCTTTCTGTTCTATGATGCTTAGGGGATATATTTATCAATTAGAATTTTTGGTTCTACTTAAAAGCATGTTTTTGATAGATGCCTGTCTACAGTAACTATATTTATTCTTCTAATTTTTTTGGATGTATAATTATTTATTCATTTTTTTCTTATGATCTTATATCAGTTTCCTCTTGGCTCAACAAGTAACAATGAGTGCCATGTCATGTATTAAAATTGGCTTCCCTCTGGAAACATGTTTTACGCAGTATTCAATAGCTTTTATTTTTTGCATTCTTTCTTTTATGAACAATCACAATATTTTGAAATGTCGATCAGACTTCTCAAATAATTGGAATAACATTTCCAATTTTAATTTGTTAATATCTGTAATTGTAATAGATTTAGAGCATCTTCTTAATTGTATGTAAGAATTTTATTCATTTCCTTGTCCTAGTATAATTGATTCTCGAAACTGCTTATGCAGCTACGAAACCAAATGAAAGCACCAATATATGTCTATTATGAACTAGATAACTATTACCAAAATCATCGAAGGTAAGGTACATTTTTTTAATCTAGCTGACTTTTTTTTTTAAGTTTGTAGGAAAACATTTTGTAGATTTTTTATCAGCTATGTGATTACTACCTCAAATTCTGCTGTTTACTACTGGTGGACAAAATTTTACCAGGTATGTAAAGAGTAGAAGTGATAGACAGCTTCTTCATGGATTGCAGTACAAGGACACTAGTTCCTGCAGACCCATAGAGTCGAGCAATGGTCTCCCTGTCTTACCTTGTGGGCTAATTGCATGGAGCTTGTTTAATGATACGTTCACATTTGATGTCAAGGCTGGAAAGTTAAACGTCAACAGGAAGAATATTTCTTGGAAAAGTGACCGAGATCACAAGTTTGGCAATGATGTTTACCCATTTAATTTCCAGAATGATACCTTAATTGGTGGAGGAAAACTTGATCCAAGTATTCCTGTGAGTATTTCAACCTATTAAAGTTTATTCATGTAATTCAACTTTTTAAGTAGGGAATATCCAGAAGGTTTTGTTTGCTTCTATATTTATATCTCAGAATCTTTATTGGGGTAAATTGAGTGACAAAACATATGATGCTTCTAAGTTGGAATGGCTATATGAAAATTCCTTCCTGTTTTCGCATTCTGAACATTGTTATTTAGGCACACATTCCTAGGAGAAAAAGTCTCTCCAACTCTTTAAAATGGAGTGAAGGGAAAATTTTATTCAATTAAACTCTGCTAAAATGTAAATGCTCTCTAAATTTCTAATACTTTTTGTTTTTTCACTATTTGGATTTATTTCGAAGCAGCTGAGCGAACAGGAGGACCTCATTGTTTGGATGCGTGTAGCTGCACTACCCAATTTTCGGAAACTTTATGGTGTGATTGAGAATGATATAGATGCTGATGAAGTTATCACGATTCAACTTTCTAATAACTACAATACTTACAGTTTTGGTGGGAAGAAAAAACTGGTTCTGACGACTTCAAACTGGCTGGGAGGCAAAAATAATTTCCTCGGCTTATCCTACATTGCCACAGGTTTCTGCAGCATTCTAGTTGCCATTCTGTTTGCCTTAATTCATGTGAAATTCCCAAGGTAGATTTTACTTATCCTTGTATCATAACATATTCTATATTCTAGTCCTCCATTTTGCAAATCCAATCGCCATGGTAAAGATGGTCAAACTAGAATTAGACGTTTAATTTGTTAATATCTGTAATTGTAATAGATTTACAGCATTTTCTTAATTGTATGCAAGAATTTTATTCATTTCCTTATGCTAGTATAATTGATTCTCTAAACTGCTTATGCAGCCACGAAACCAAATGAAAGCACCAATATATGTCTATTATGAACTAGATAACTATTACCAAAATCATCGAAGGTAAGGTACATTTTTTTAATCTAGCTGACTTTTTTTTTGAAGTTTGTAGGAAAACATTTTGTAGATTTTTTATCAGCTATGTGATTACTACCTCAAATTCTGCTGTTTACTACTGGTGGACAAAATTTTACCAGGTATGTAAAGAGTAGAAGTGATAGACAGCTTCTTCATGGATTGCAGTACAAGGACACTAGTTCCTGCAGACCCATAGAGTCGAGCAATGGTCTCCCTGTCTTACCTTGTGGGCTAATTGCATGGAGCTTGTTTAATGATACGTTCACATTTGATGTCAAGGCTGGAAAGTTAAACGTCAACAGGAAGAATATTTCTTGGAAAAGTGACCGAGATCACAAGTTTGGCAATGATGTTTACCCATTTAATTTCCAGAATGATACCTTAATTGGTGGAGGAAAACTTGATCCAAGTATTCCTGTGAGTATTTCAACCTATTAAAGTTTATTCATGTAATTCAACTTTTTAAGTAGGGAATATCCAGAAGGGTTTGTTTGCTTCTATATTTATATCTCAGAATCTTTATTGGGGTAAATTGAGTGACAAAGCATATGATGCTTCTAAGTTGGAATGGCTATATGAAAATTCCTTCCTGTTTTCGCATTCTGAACATTGTTATTTAGGCACACATTCCTAGGAGAAAAAGTCTCTCCAACTCTTTAAAATGGAGTGAAGGGAAAATTTTATTCAATTAAACTCTGCTAAAATGTAAATGCTCTCTAAATTTCTAATACTTTTTGTTTTTTCACTATTTGGATTTATTTCGAAGCAGCTGAGCGAACAGGAGGACCTCATTGTTTGGATGCGTGTAGCTGCACTACCCAATTTTCGGAAACTTTATGGTGTGATTGAGAATGATATAGATGCTGATGAAGTTATCACGATTCAACTTTCTAATAACTACAATACTTACAGTTTTGGTGGGAAGAAAAAACTGGTTCTGACGACTTCAAACTGGCTGGGAGGCAAAAATAATTTCCTCGGCTTATCCTACATTGCCACAGGTTTCTGCAGCATTCTAGTCGCCATTCTGTTTGCGTTAATTCATGTGAAATTCCCAAGGTACATTTTACTTATCCTTGTATCATAACATATTTGATATTCAAGTCCTCCATTTTGCAAATCCAATCGCCATAGTAAAGATGGTCAAAGTAGAATTAGAATCATGAGATAGCCCTCCCTTTTCTTCCAATGATTAGGCACTTGTGCATGCTAATAAAGATATCTTTTCATTGTGTTTGAATTTGCCATTCTCATTACTGCAGATTGGTTCTCTAATCATGCAAGTGTCTTCTGCTACTATATTCATCCTTTCCTTGACTTTCTCATTTGATATAGCTTTGGATTGGTCATGTTACTTTTATCTGAAGTTCACACTATCATGATACTTCCATGAATTGTTGATTGCTTCTATCATCTCTGGTTTTTTTTTTTCCTTTTTTGTTCGCTTATGTCATCTCTCTTCCTGATTTAATTAGAATTAGGTTTAGTTTTAATGTTTTTGTAAATTGAATAACTGCTGTTAATCTATCTTTTCATCTTAGCTATCTGGCTATTATATAACACTGAACTCCAATTTGTCTTCCACCTCCATGCAGGCCTCATCGCGATGCATCATACTTACACTGGAACAGGAAAAGCAGCGCCACGTCCAGGTAAACAGACCCTGAAAAGTGCATGGCGTTATACTCTCTCTCATGATTGGCTTCAGTGCAACATGTTTCTTTTCATATTTTCTTTTAAATGGCGGATGGAAGAGAATGATTCAGTTTCATGGCTTTCATTGAACCAAGCCCTTTTCAGGATCACAAAAACCACCTTATTTTTCTGTAAGTATATTTTGTTGGATCATGTGACTTTTCATGATAAATAAGAGGTTTTAAATTGTTGATTTGTTGGTCTCCATTCTTGTTTGTTATTTTGAGTTTTCTTAGAAATTTAGGCCAATCCAACTATATAAACTTGAAAATTGAGTGGGAACCATTCGCTACTCTCATTGTTCGTTTTATCAAATTCTAAATTTTTTTTCCTGCTAGGCATGAGTTTTTTATGAAGCGTTGTAATAGATAAAGTTTGTAGATAAAATTTTTTGAACTTAATAATATCAAGAATGTGGTCATTCACATTTAACTATTTTTTGTAAGGATATTATAAATATATTCAGTGTTTATGCTTTTTAAAGTATTCTGATAGGAAAGTTTGGGCAGCTAATATGTTAAGAAAATTTGCCTCGACTGCCACAACTTATATATCTTCAGCAAGTGATTGCATTAAGTTGACGACTACACCTTGCTCAAAGAGTCACTTACTTGGCCTTCAATGTAGACAGAGAATGTGGGCCTGAGAGCCTACTTGAAGTTGATTTGAAACTATTTTCATTATATAACATTTAATCTTTACAGGGAAAAAAGAAAAAAAAAACCAAAAATGAAGGAAAAATAACTATTAGTCAGGTGTAGCTTTCTTCATGAGAACTAACCAGCTTCTAAGTTGGCTTCCAAGTCTCTGTATAGAAAGGTTCTATGTATGATAATTAGAAAGAAGTAGACCATTTTGGACCAACTCGTTTATGCTAAATTGGATGCCTTGTTCCAATTGTCATTATTGGTTCAATACGTTATTGAATGTTGAGGACAAGGAATTAAATAACTACTCTTCAGAAGTCTTGAAGTTAGCAAATTCTCGACAAGTAACATTGGGTTTCTTGCCCATGTTCCGCACGACTCCGCATCCACTTGGTTTTTTTCGGTTTGTGAGAAAGGCATCACCAAGGTAGATTCCTTTTAAAAAATAAGCTTATTTAACTCTTGTTTTTTGTTTTGTGTTGATTCTGTCTCGTCTTTTACCTTCTTAAAGTTAGATTTCATATTATTAATACTTTGTCGATGAAATAAATTCTGTCTCCATTGTTTCTTTATTATCCTAAATAATGATAAACCAGAACACTTCAAAAGCACTGAGCAAGAGGATAACTTATGTGATAGTTATATGTACACATTATGAAGAGTCAAGTAGATCCCGATGTCCAATAAGACTTTCATGCTTGCTAGATCATCAAAGGCTGATTTTGGATGATGGTTAATGTGGTCTTAATACGGAAGCACTTAATGAAACAATTCGTGTTTTTTCCAGTTTTTAATCTTATTCTCTAGCTTGAATATCTTTAAATGTTTTGAATGGAAGGAGAAGCTTCTGTCCTTGAACCCCCTCAGTGATAGGAAATTTCACAAAACAATTTCCAATCTTACTTTGGTTTAGGATCAATTACAAACTAGACCATGCCACGGAATAAGAAGATTGCACAAGATTCGAGAAAATCACAACAAAAGTTATAAATAAAAGCACAATCAAAGTAATTAGAAAAATACATGAGAATTTTACGTTGAAAAATTTGAGAAGGGAAAAAAATCATGGAACCACACCGCTAGAAATTGTACTTTAAAATTCACATTGTTATACAAAAAACTCACTCAAGTTCCTTCTCTACACATAAGAAAACTTACAGGACACGCTCAAAAAACTTTCTTTTCCGATTCGACATATGAATCATGCTGAATCATCGAAATCCACCCCTTCGACTCTTCTAGCCTTCACCGGGATGCTTGTCAAAGAACTTTAGAGGGAAATCTCACTTCATACACTTACGCCGTTGAAATTAGCTTAACTGCTTCGGTTACATAGGCGTCTGGACTTGGTGCTTAAGCGTCGTGCTTACTAGATCGGCGTCTTATGTTGGGCTCATAGGTGCCAATAGGTTGGCGCATAAGCTCTAGTCTCTTGAGAATAAAGCAACGCATAAGTGTAAGTGGGCGCATATGCACCCATAGGCTGGCACATATGCACCCATAGGCTGGCGCATATGCATCAGCTTCTCTACTGTTTGCACTCAAGTGAGTGCTTATGCGTCACAGCCCGACGCCCGACACATATGCGCCCACAACCCGATGCATATGCATCGGGTGCTTTGCCCCTATAAGTTGCTCTCCAAATCTGCCTCCAAACATAACAATCTACCACTTGGAGACTTATTGCACCCAACACCAGTCCTTTGTTGGAGAGATGCTTCCCTTAAAGGGGCAAGGAGAGATGTTTTCCTTGAAGGGTATCATTCTCGACTGATCGAGGTAACACTATCAAGCATCAAAACATAGTCGGACATCAAAGTACTCCGACAAAACATGGATCAAATGTAAAACAGATGCGGCATGTTGTTTGACATGATAGATAGAACCAAAAAGTTGATCAAAAATATCAATGAGGTTAGATAACCAGGATGATCTTATCTCAAGGGTCCTTTAACAAGCACTGGTGAAGATAATTTGTTGGGGATTCCCCCGTCACTTAGCAAGATAGTTCTTTGCTGGGGGGGCACCAGATATCTTGATGAAGGACAACTAATACGGAATGTCATTCGACGAGGCGAACATAACCAACCAATTCAATCACAAAAATATCATAACATCTAGGCAGACTCAGAGGTCCAACCATAGGGTACTTCAAGCAAGCGCTAGCGAAGTAACTCTCGCTAACAAATTCCTTAGAACTAGCAAATTAGCTCTCGCTGGGGAAAACTCAATAGATATTTCCTACGAGAATTGGCTAAGACAATTCTCTTCTGGCAAAATTCTGGGGCAATTATTAGACATCAAAAGTGGCTTTGACTAAGAACATAGATTGGATAGGCAATCAATGAAATCTAAAACTAATACGACATGTTACCTTAACCAAACAATCAAAATTGACCAAGTCAAGCATATCATAGAGGTTGGATGATGTTGGATGACCTAAGCATGCCAACCACATATATGATACTTTTGCCAAGATCCTTGGTAGGATAAACCCACAGGGAATTATCACAGTATCCCAAAATGGTTGGTAAAAATAGAATGCACCAATCCTAAGAATGTTTAGCCCTCATGTTAAACCAGAAACATCCTTCAAGGGGGAATATACCACACTCATCTAAGATGAGTAGGGTACTCTAACTCGGACTTGCGCGAAGCGCTTAATAGATGTGTCGAGGAAAGAAGTATAGCTTTTCTGCACTATAGAGGTATCAATCGAACTTGATCTTGGTCAATCGAAACACATAAGAAAGGTTAGGCTCCGTTTGGGGCCGCGTATTTCGCGCAACGCGGCACCAAA